CCAAAGTGACCCACCTTCCTGCATTGTGAGGTTTAATTAATGCAATTAACATTTACAAAGTGCTGTGAAACAGCTCTGCTGCTAGTGTCAGCCTGGAGGAAATGAGTGACATCAGTTCTCAGCGTTATTGCTGGGTTGGGGTGAGTCCCTGAGCTTCCTCTCAGTCTAATTGGGGGTGCCACCTACCCCTCTGTCTGCCACATTGCATTTGAGCACATCTGACCTGGTTCAGTCAGGGCACAGGCACCCTGCACTAATGAGGAGGGCCCCTGGGGGAGAACCTTGCGGGTAGGCCCACCCAGGGCTGCTGCCCACCCTTGAATCATACGCTGTACCCCAGCCTCTGGGAAGGGGTCAGAGTTCACCTCTCATCACAAGGTTAGGCAGCTACCTCCTATGAAGGGAAACGCTCAGCTGGTGTATCATGTCTCAGCCACGAAGCTCCCTTCATCCTTGGGATGGGTGATGCATTGTTCATAACTCCTGTAATTCTTGTCTGTCTTGGTTACGGCAGTTCCAGGCACGTGCCCTGGACTGCCTGGGCATGAGATTTGGCACTGCCACTTTGCTGGCTGACTTAACTCATCTGAGCCTGTTGAAGGCAGGGAGATAAGACCTGCCCCAAGATAGGTGGGGGTTAAAAGAGGTGGTAGACAGGCCAGGTGCGGTGGCTCACACGTGTAATCCCAGCACTTTGGGAGGCCAAGGCGGACAGATCACCTAAGGTCAGATGAATCATGAAGTCAGTGAGGTACATAGAAAGAAGTGGGGGAGGCTGGGCGTGGTGGCTCATGCCTGTAATCCCAGCAGTTTGGGAGGCTCAGGCAGGTGGATCATGAGGTCAAAAGATCGAGACCATCCTGGCTAACACCGTGAAACCCCGTCTCAACTAAAAATACAAAAAAAGAAAATAACTGGGCATGGTGGCCCGTGCCTGTAGTTCCAGCTACTTGGGAGGCTGAGGCAGGAGAATTGCTTGAACCTGGGAGGCGGAGGTTGTGGTGAGCTGAGATTGCACCACTGCACTCCAGCCTGGGCAACAGAACCAGACTCTGTCTCAAGAAAAAAAAAAAAA